TAATGGGAGCCGGTAACCGGATCGGTAAAACCGCGGTTAACCGCCGATTTTCATGCGGTTTTTATTACATGGGTCACCATCATTCACTAACAGATAGTCTTGTTACACTTTATCTCAACTCTATTGTTACACAATTACTAAACTCGCTTATAGTAAACAGTAATTGTCATAACACGATTGCATATCACTATTGATAAATATGCATTTTTCCTTTTTCATATTTTTTGTCAAATACCAAGCAGTATGAAAAAGTTGAAGATAAGCTTCGTGAATCAAATCGCTCTGTTTCAGCGAATATTTGATTATCTTAAATAATTCCTTCAACTAAATAGTATTCACAACATCTAAAGAATACATAGCTTAATAGAATACTCGAAAATCGAAATTAATACCTCCAACTTATTCTCAAAAATTAGCACTACTTAAGTAGTTGCTCAATCATAATGTCATTTTTTTTATAACATATCATTTTCTGGCTTCGTACATTCAAAACTCATACAAAACAATAATTTCATAATTATTCTTAAAGTAGTCTTCTTCAATATATTGATTTTATCTAACCAATAACCTAGTGAATTTATAAGATTTCTTTCTTGTTCTTCTGTAAACATCTTGCAATATTTTTTCTGCATAAAATGTCCATTGACTTTTACATTCACTAATCACATCATTGACCAATACTTTGTAAACTCATGAATCTCTCAAATTATTTTCACACGGAAGTATTACTTATCTATACTTTAATTCGTAACATAAAATATCATTGGACTTATTAAACTCATTATTAGATAAACTTCACATTTTTTTCTTAGCACAATACATCATAAGAGTATATAATCATATCTCATTTAACAATCATATTGCCTATACAAAGCATTTAATATTAAGTCAATATTTAATCATTTTGTAGGAGGAAAACATTAATAATCGACATTCACAAGAAACAAAATACACAAATTTTGTAGCTAACATTCTCATCTTATGGTTTAACAACGTCTTACATAAAATCCTATTTTAAATCTCAATATGAAGAATAAACTCTAATCCAGCAAAATCTCATCTACATGACAATAACATAAGCGCACTATTCTTTTCATTAGTTTTGTTCATTCTAATCTCATTTCATTCTTTTCTTTTTTTACCAATCTTCTTACTTAATTTAAGATTTTTTTTCATGAAGCGTACACTTAATATGACTCAAAATAAAAACATCTACAACGCAAAAACGAATGCAACACTCGATGGTGTGGTTGTCGCAGTATCAGACATTTCTGATAATCAAAATGACAAAAAAGGAAAATATTGGACGGCCTTGTTGTGTGATGCCAATCAGAATATCGATCGAATAACAAAATATTTAACATCAAGAGGAATTTTTATTCTTCATACAAAAGATGGTTGAACATTTAAATAATGAATCTAGTATCAAGCTAAAATCTACTGGCGAAAAATCATACACTGCAACTGCTGGAACCATCGCTACATCAATACCTTTATTATTAACACCTCAATGTACACAAATAACTACGATTAAAAATATTCAATCCATGTCAGATGAACAGTATATATCATTCAACTGTAAATAATCGATATATGCTGTGTAAGAAGTTCATGGTACTGTAATTCAGTGTTACAACTTCTTTTCTTCTTTTCAGGATGATAAGTTGTCGTCTTTAACGATGCACAGAAACGAGTTCAAAAACTCAAAAGAGCTACTTTAGTAGCCGATACAACTGATTTCGTCAATATGAATATTTAGCAAAATAATTTCGATTCAATAGAAAAAGATCAATGTTATTTAATTAAGTTAGCAAAAGTCAAATTATTCAATGATGAATTATCAATAACAACAACAACACGTACAAAGTGAGTTTTCCAATTGTTACTTTTCTCAGTATTTCTGTAAATTTTGCATAAAATCTAAATCGCTAAATTTGATCTCTCAATGTCTATTTCTAACATGAAACGTTTACCACAATTACTAGATTTGCACTTATCGAAAAGATTCCTGATGTTGTGGCCTGTGATTATATTCAAATCGCACAAGAGCCAACAATAGTTGCTGTGATAACTTCAATTGGATTAGTAGAACAGCGTTGTATCTGTGCAAAGTGTTATTCAGCTGATGTCCAGTGTAATGATAAAACCATAAAATGTATAACATGCAAATCAAGATCATTATATTTGGAACAGTCAGTTGAACAAAAACAAATGAAACTTAATGCTATGGATACTAATCAGAAGGTATTTGAATTTATCGTCAAAGCATCTCAAATTCAAACTTTATTACAAGAATCCAATCATCATGAACTTTGTGAAAACGATTTAATTGAAAATGAAAACGTTTTACTTGCTTTATCTTCGATTAATATCGTCATTAACTTCAATCCAAAAACTAGGAATATAAATACTATCGCATTAAACAACATTAATAATAATTAAATAAATTTAGTCAATAAAAGTAGAAAAGACACTTCAATAAACTTTGATCATTTTAAGAATAATATTCATATTATTCTTGTTCTTGAGTTTTATAATCTTACCATGAAATCTATAGACCATGCCACTATAACACTCATATTTTATTTTTAGTATTCCTCATCTTCAATACGTATAGTAAATGATATCCTTATAACTATAATTAGTACAGTCTCTGAGCACATTACAAATTCCCAAATATGATATACCACAAATCTTTCTTCGCGTATACCAATAGCATATATCATTGTAATACTAACACATATCACACACACCACAATTCAACTGATACATAATTCTAACTTACATATATGCTAATTTGCCATAATTTACAAATAACCTATTCAATCTAACTTTTCAAATAAAATAAAATATATCACTGGTAAAAAGGTAAAAAAACATAATAATTGAGAAAACGATCGAGTTGATTCCTTTTGTGGACTTTTGATAGTTACTCTAAACAAGAAACTTTGTAACATAACCAGGAACCAAAACTTTCCTATCACAATCGTTCTGTGAACTATAATACTATTATTTCTACGGCTAAATTTACTTTATACAATTTACAAACAATTAGTTTAATCCTCCAAACCCATTCTATACTTTAGTAGATACACGTTTACTGTACTCTTTCATATGGATCTATTCCACAATATCAACAAAAAAACAATTGTATAAAGAATCTCCATCCGATTAGTTTTATTACATATATCGTGTTTCACATTTTTAATCCCGAACGGATTGCGCTAAGAGCTTTTTTTCTTAAAAAACCTTTTCTTGTAGACACTCGAAAATACATATTTTAATCTATATTTTTTAACTATACAATGTTTACATAAAAGACTAGTGCTCTTTATTTCCCTCCTGATAACTGAAATAATTAAACTTAATAGCTATTTAGAATTTTTCTTCAGTATTTCATCAAATGAAAATGTAACTAAATGAGTCG